GTTTTCTTTTTATTATATGATTTAAAAAAGCCTTTCTACGTGTACTGCATTAAGCTAACTGAGACTTGTTATAGCACTTGCATATCATTGCTCTTTTGTTGATAGTGATTGCTTCCATTGTCCTCATTTGTAAGTCGCTTTGGCGTCTGCTGTCTGCTAAATGTAAATGTAACCTCGGCGTCCTATTCGAGCCCTTCCCGCTCCTTGAGTTACCGCTGGAAGCTGGAAAGCTGCTCCGATATTTACGCAGGTCCTACCTCTTGCCTGCAGTGTTAATTTTGACAGCAAATTTTGATTTAGTTTTAGTCATAGTCTTTTGACTAAAATGCCATTTAGTTTTAGTCATATTTTAGTCATCTTTTTAGTTTTAATCGACTAAATATCATACAATTTTAGTTGACTAAATCTACAGTAAAAATGGGTTTAGTTACAGTGTAATGCATTTATTAAGCATTTCTCTACAATTTCCAAACTCATTATATAGGTTTGATATTAAGGTTTTATCATGATAGACACCGATTTAACTGCGGTGACACACAACATGCCTTTATGGTAAAAAACACTTCTCATAAAGAACAAGAACATGGTCTTTTTTTTAATGAAATATCAATGGTTATATAGGCTAATTATGCATTCTTTATAGCAACTTGTTTACCATATTCTTCATTCTTTCAAGCAGACATATTTATTTCTATAAATAAATGTAGATTAATATTTAGGGCTACTAAAGTTTTTCAGTCAAGAGCAGTGCGTGATTTTCTGTCTTTCTGTTGTTGCTTGATTAACATCAATGACTCGGACAAGAGCAACTAAATTAGGCTGCTGTCCCTTTAAAACCGAATGCACAGCTGCAATGGATGCAATGTACTGATACACGTTCTCCCTACTGTTTACGTTCACTTAAGACGTAATCAACTGTGTTTACGTGAATACTTGTCAAAACGGACAATTCGACATCATTTTGTGTGTAATTCTCCATTCATGCGACTCGAGAGAGTACTCGCGCGCTGTGAGACACTCTTTCTGTATGTGTATGCTTCAGTGTCTGCGCTCAGAAAACCAGACGGAATTGAGCTCTCTCTTGTGTCGTCAGATTTATCCATATGTCTCCTCTTCTCTTACTCCCACATATTGACATTTTTTAACGTTTTATGCGACGTGCAGCAAGTGTATGTTAGCTTATGTCCCGCCGGTTCATATGTACACATCTAATCTCCGAACCATGCAGCAGATTAGTTCTGAATGAATCTGTTCCCAAATCGTCCCTCCCTAACATTTTTGTCTCGTTTTTATTCATTGACGAAAATGTCAATAGATTTACATCATAGTTTTTGTCATTCAAAAAGAGTTTTAGTTTGTTATCGTCTCGATGTCGTCGGTGAAAAAAATGTCGTTGACTACAATTATGACGAAAATTATTCGTCAACGAAATTAACACTGCTTGCCTGATCATAAACCTTCTTTTTAATGTTTTGTTCTTCTGATATTTTCCTCTTTTTATCTTCCATTTATGCTAATATCCATCCTGTGCACTCAAATTGAGCACTCTCTTCTCTCTATCATAACAAGACACGCCCCTTACTGCTGATTGGATGCAAGTGTGTTTTGGGACACGGTCCGACACTGTGGTCAAAAGCGTTTTTCAAAAATTGCTTAGTGCACCTTTAAGTTCAACTGTTCCAATACTTATGCTCACATCAGATAGTGGGATGAACTCTAAAAGTGTTGTCCTTTTTATTTGGTAAAACATGTATGCATGTGTTGAAACAGCTAATAATAAAATGTGACATTCTGTAGTTTTGTCTCATATTCATCTTTTAATCATATTTGCACGTCTTGACTACACAGCAAACAAAGCAATTTTGTCATTACTGTCCCACTACTTACGGAGGGCACTGTATGTGTATATCCAACAACTAACCTCCAACACCCTGACATATATATATATATATATATATATATATATATATTTATTTATTTATATCTTTTAACATCTCATATATGTGCAGTGGCACAACTTGCCCCATGCTGTGTCAGTTGTAGATCCATCTCGGGTAAACTGTCCAATTTATTTTTAATTTAAAAAAAACAAAAAAACAATTGACCATTTGCTAAGCTTCACCCCTTTTGGTTCATCAGACAAGCTTTAAAGATTGTCCCTCAGAAATGAACTACGGAAATGGAGATTTCTGTAAACAAAGTGTTTTACAGTAAATGTGCTTTTAAAATGTGCTAAAAAAAACTGACTGAATATTATTCTTGTGTAGATTGCAATAACTTGTGTAAATGCAAATGTGATATTGAGGAGATTTCTGTACTAATACCAAATAGAAATGCAAACACAAAAAAAACAATTTATTAATGCACTATTCCTTTCCAAAATGTGTTATTTTTGATATCTTAAATTACGAATTAATACAGTGGTGTGAAAAAGTGTTGGCCCCCTTCCTGATTTCTTATTTTTTTGCATGTTTGTCACACTTTAATGTTTCAGATCATCAAACAAATTTAAATATTAGTAAAAGATAACACAAGTGAACACAACATGCAGTTTTTAAATGAAGGTTTTTATTATTAAGGGAAAACAAAATCCAAAACTACATGGCCCTGTGTGAAAAAGTGTTTGCCCCCTAAACCTAATAACTGGTTGGGCCACCCTTAGCAGCAACAACTGCAATCAAGCGTTTGCGATAACTTGCAATGAGTCTGTTACAGCGCTGTGGAGGAATTTTGGTCCACTCATCTATGCAGAATTGTTGTAATTCAGCCACATTGGAGGGTTTTCGAGCATGAACCGCCTTTTTAAGGTCATGCCACAGCATCTCAATAGGATTCAGGTCAGGACTTTGACTAGGCCACTCCAAAGTCTTCATTTTGTTTTTCTTCAGCCATTCAGAGGTGGACTTGCTGGTGTGTTTTGGATCATTGTCCTGCTGCAGAACCCAAGTTCGCTTCAGCTTGAGGTCACGAACAGATGGCCCTTAACTGAGGCAAGTGAGGCCTGCAGTTCTTTGGATGTTGTTGTGGGGTCTTTTGTGACCTCTTGGATGAGTCGTCGCTGTGCTCTTGGGGTAATTTTGGTCAGCCGGCCACTCCTGGGAAGGTTGTTTTTGCCATTTGTGAATAATGGCTCTTACTGTGGTTCGCTGGAGTCCCAAAGCTTTAGAAATGGCTTTATAACCTTTTCCAGACTGATAGATCTCAATTACTTTCTTTCTCATTTGTTTCTGAATTTCTTTGGATCTCGGCATGATGTCTAGCTTTTGAGGATCTTTTGGTCTACTTCACTTTGTCAGGCAGGTCCTATTTAAGAGATTTCTTGATTGCGAACAGGTGTGGCAGTAATCAGGCCTGGCTGTGGCTAGAGAAATTGAACTCAGGTGTGATAAACCAGTTTTAACAGGGGGGCAAACACTTCTTCACACAGGGCCATGTAGTTTTGGATTTTGTTTTCCCTTAATAATAAAAACCTTCATTTAAAAACTGCATGTTGTGTTTACTTGTGTTATCTTTGACTAATATTTAAATTTGTTTGATGATCTGAAAAAACAAAGTGTGACAAACATGCAAAAAAATACGAAATCAGGAAGGGGGCCAACACTTTTTCACACCACTGTATATAGATTTATTAAGAGAAAAGTATAATATTTTTAGGGTTTCAAAAGACCAAACATTATATGATATGATATTATTATATATTTGCTTTGACATAGATTAACATTCTTATTTAACTTTTAAAATAATTTGTAAACATTTATTTTTTTCAATAACAGCTAGATAGGCCCTTCTTAAATATATAGTGACATAAATGTATGCATTGTTACCTGTCCAGGTGGTGGTCCTTCCACTGGCTCATTCATGAACAGGTGAGACAAATAATATTTGCAAATTTAATTGGTGAAGTTAGAGGCATATTCACATCTATATCAACAAATTAGTTATATGAACTGAAAGAGATACATTCTGTACTTTCAATTTTCCACATTGAAACTTTTGAACGAGTAGTGAGTGTCACCCCTATCTAGGAAACATGCACAATTTTGTCATGTGATGAAATATTTAAAAAGGAGCCATGAGCTGCCTGTGAGAGATGCAAATGAGAAATTTGTTTCATTACAATCTTTTAAATCTTTCCTGTCTGCAGCAAAAATTGACTTTTGGAATAGTGCATTTCTTTTTCTTCATTTTTAGCTCATATTTTATTTGAAATGTCCTGTTGCTTACTGGTTTTGCCTCCATCTAATTTCTCCTTGCCTAGAGGGTAACATATTTTTTAAAATGTGGCAAAGTTTACCTGTCTCTCTTATTGTAGGCTACTGTACTGCTGTAGATGTCACTGTTTACCTCAGTGTTCGCGCAGGTCTGTCATATTCGACCACAAATGAAACAGAAAAGTCAAACACGTGGGATTCGAACACATTTGATTCGCATATTTGATCAAATGTCAAGTATGTGCAATATGAAACCACCAAAGATCCTTCGCGTGAAGATGACACAGCGGCTGCTGGTTTTCACTACATTTTCCGTTCGAGAAACTTTGAATGGTCAGCTGCGCTTCATTTCTTATGTTTCCATAATAACATAATAACAAAATCCAATTAAGCCAAACCAAAGCTTTGTTTCGTTCTTCGTCATAGTTGAGACGTTTTCATATATAGTTAGAACAGGAATAAGATGGATTAAACGTGCACGTCCGTGATGGAACGTTTTCCAGAACGATATCAACAATCACTAAGCATTTCTTCAACGTCTCAAGGCAAAAGCAGGCCAGCGCCGGGGACTTTTTCTCTGCAAAACAAACTATTTGCAGTCACGACAAGCCGTAAACAAGCGACTCCATCCTGCGAAAATTAGCAGAAAAACATTGCCATCATATAAATCTCAGTTTGGACGTTTGGATGGTGATTGTGAAATCGTCTGAGTGAGACCCAGGGCAGACGATCGAGAGAAACTGGGGTGGGCGGGAGTGCGCTGAAGTCACACGATAAAAAGGGTTTGCTCTAGGGAAAAAACTCTTGATTCCTTCCGCAGCCTCCCGTTCACCATCGTGCGGTATGAAGCGTCTACCTGGATACTTACCGTCATTACGCAAATTTCGGTGACTTTCTTTCCCTCCCGACTTGGATTCTACTTTATGATGATTTTGGATATGTACCTTTGGGATGAAAAGAACCCTTTCCCTGCCCGCCGAAGTAAGATAAAATAGGGTTTCACTGACATTGGAGTTACTCCTCTCGTTCCATATGAAGAAGTCAAACGTAAGTGAACGGATTTTGCTTTGACGCGAGTAATTTAGCGTGAATCACATGTGATTTGCTTTAGTGTTTTGCTACGTGCGCTTGCAAAAATGCGCTGTCTGCAGAGCGTAACTGGGGGAAATGTAAATGAACACGGTAGCGTGTTTTATATCACAACATATTGATGCGACAGTCTGAAAAGACTTTCTCGCATCGTTGACCTTTTAAGTATTTTAAGACGCTAAATGCGCACGAAGGCGCGCAATTACGCGCACTTAATTAGTTGGTGGGGGTGTGGAAGGACTAGCTACATAATAGTTTATTATTTAAAATGAACGTGACCCTTGTCGTCAAGTAGGCTACCACAAACATGCTTTGATTTCGCTGAGGTGAACGTTATTATACTGTAACAGCGTGTTGGTTTCCATCCATTTAACTTGTCACATCCATTTTTCGTCATTTCTACTCAATTTGAATTTTCGGAGTTTAAACCAGAAATGGTTAAAAGAAGTGCGACTTTAAAAAAAGAATCAAGCTTAAGTATTCTATTTTAGTTGGTTCAAATGTTTTACGATGTGGTGAGACGTGCATACTTCGATCTGGTCAACATCAGCTTTCGTTGTCGTTTAACAAGAGAATATTTTGTCTTCGATGATCTGTGGTGTCCTCTCGATGATATATGTGAACAATATGACTATTAAAACATGATCGATAAATATGAAGTCCTCGAAACGGCAGATAAGAGTAAATTAACACTGATAAAACGACACGACCTTTGGACGTTTATGCAAGTGGTTAACGCGAAACATTTACATGCGTATATATTTTGTACGAACTAGATCTTCTTGGTACATTACTCACCGTCTTGGAAATGTTGTACAACGGGAAATAATACAGGGGAAATGGCTTTCATTAACTGCGGGGATACTCGAAATGCACCAGGCTTTTCTAACAGGCAGCATCACGTACTAATGCTTCCCTTCCCTTACCTTTTAGGTACTGTAAATTATGAACATTTGCCATGTTGTAAATATACTCAGATTTCAATAATACATAGTTTATATTGATGTATGAAGAGACAGAAGTCATTCACCTTGCACCTTCTTAGCCCTGCTGGGAATTTGAATTACCTCTTGCTGGGAGTAAGCAGTTTTACGATGATAAATTGGCATGTGGTGCTCACCAAGACATGTTTTTTAAAGACTTGATTTATTTGTGGTGCATTTTTGCTATTTTATTGATAGACAGTAATAGAGAAGCAGAACATAAAGAAGAGAGAGGACAGATTACAGACCAGGATGGCAAAACGTTTGAGGCTTGATTTGAACTCTGGTCTCCCATAAGCATGTCACCTCAAAATGTTAGAGCATTCGCATATATATGCTTCAATAAAGCACTTTATTCTTAAGCACACATAATTTATGTTTAACTTTGGCGGTTTTGAAAGTAGCCTACATTTATTGGCTTTGACACACCTGCCGCTGTATTCAAATCTCAGTGCTTGTAACCTTGTCTTACTTACAACCTAAAGTTAAATAAAGTTAATCATTTGTAAACATAAGAAGCTCGCTCATACTATACACGTGACAGTTTTGATTTCTGAGTCATTTGATTTTTGTGGTTAATCTATTGGAGATCATTTAATGTATGAGGAAAGTGTTGTGTGAACACCTTCAATTCGGTGTACAGTATTCTGCAGTTAAGAAACCAAACCTAGTACGTGAATAATCATTGAACTAATTGTACAGCTCTTTACCGTCACCCGTGACATACATCGACCCCTTTGCCAAAACTGAGGCTCAATTATGTGAAACATCTTGCATGAAAGCAAAACGCCTTCAATCATATGCCAAGCCCAAAGGCAAAAATAAGTTAGCGACAGTTTGTGCTATTTGACAATGAGGAAGTGTTGCGCATCAAAAACTAGCAATCTTGAAGTAGGTGAAACCTTGGTATTTTTCAGCATTTCCTCTTCATAGGTAATACCCGATTTCTGTCTGGTTTGTTCTCAATAAGCGCATAGTTCAACACAGTTCTTTCCTGGAAGATTTCGTTTTAGAAATGCTGTGAAAGTGCAGCTATACATGCAGTTGACATTCTTGTGCATGGCCTGAATTTAATGTACAAATGTGATTTGTAGCCTATGTTTAGCCTCTGAAATTAGACATGGAAAAGTGAAGACATGTATAATAGCACTTAAGCTACAACAAATGAAATGAGCTACAGACGCAATTTAAACAGTAATCCTATTCACAGTCTTCAAAACTGGTTTTAGTGATAACATAAATCTTTCAAGACTGCTAGAACAAACTACAAGGTTGTGAAACAATGGCATATGCTTGTGGGTAAGTTTAATAAAGTTAACTTTATTAAAAAAATAAATAAAAAAATACCTGAAGTAACATAATCCACAATCCTTAAGCAATGTTCTGTTACTCTGGAGAAGTCTTATTTGGCTAAATATTAAATGTTAGTTCATATGAGATGTTGCTGCATTACAGGATTAAAGACAGCATTAATGTGTTCTGATAAGAAAATAAATTAAGAAGACAGAAAACCAGTGGCGGCGCTAGAGCGGGGCTTGACGGGGCTATAGAAAATTGCTATTGAAAATAGGTGTAGGCTACGAAATAAAGCTGCTCTTAATTTTCATTGATGACTGCAGTGTTAATAATTTTAATAATAGGTCTATAATTCATTGTATAAATTAATACACCTGTTTTTTTTTTGTTTTTTTTTGCTTTTTAAAAACATTTTCAATGAGGACAGCGCGTCATGCGCGCTATGAAATTATTTCGGGGCAATAATTTCATGTAATTTAATAATAAAAGTAACCTAATAATAATAATAATAATAATAATAATAATAATAATAGGCCTAATAATAAGAAGAATGTAACAAGCCTACAATAATTGGAAATGATAAATCCTCTTAATATTGCCAATTTTTGATGCTTTTGACAATATCTCTGGCTATCGTCGACACATGATACGACGCATCTCAGCACCGGGAGGTTATCGCGGCACTTTATCTATCGTTAAAAAATGGATAGAATTTACCATGTTTTCCTGCCAGTTGGCATTGAGAGTGACTGACACTTGATGGTCAGAAAAAATGACTAAATAGATGTGTAAAAAAAAAAACAATAAAATAAAATAATGAAAAAATACAAAACTCCCTACTTTCTGTCTTTTCTATGTGCGTTCATAAATTGTATTAATTTGTAAGTGTCATATTTGGCAGTTGTCATTAGAAGTTATATTACTAATAACAGTGGCATATGAGAAGTTTAATACCACAGAAAAAATGTAAAATGTGCCTTTTTTAAAGCTGCTGTATATAAAAAACACAAGGTGGCTGAATTTGCATGCTATTTAGATAGCTGAAGCTTAGGCTCATTACTTTCACTCAATTTAATTAGTTTTTTAGCACCCCCTTTGAACTGTTAAGCCCCCCCTCAGCACCCCCAACAAAAAAATCCTGGAGCCGCCACTGCAGAAAACTCAGATGGATTGCATTATTCACACAGTTTTATGGGATTGGTTGTCCATCAATTCCCTCATAAATTGTCTGTCATGTACCATTGTCTTTTTCTGTTATATACATACTATGTGTAGATAACTCTTTTAAAAGATTATAAAAAAATCTAAACTTCTGAAAAATATCTGGACGAAAGTCACTAAAAAAGTGAGAAAGTGAGTAGTCATTGTAGTAGTGATAAGACAAGAGGGTTCTTTCCTCCCTTACAATGGTAAAAATCACTGTAACATAGAAAGCCATAGGTTAATGTACAAAACAAAACTATACCAAAAGCACTATGAAAAACAAAATGTTTAATAAAGGATTAATATTTGATGGATAAATCTGGAGCGTATAATCAAAGGCAATTAGTAACACCATTTTCTGGATTTTACTAGGAATGGTTTTGTTATGTAATTATTTTTTGTTTCCTGTTTGGACTGAAGATATGCAACAGTGTGTTGTTGTGTCTAAGTCTAACAATGTTTATGATCCATAAATCAGATTTTGTCATATCAGATTATTCATTTTGTGCTGTAAAGACTCAAAACTTGTGGAGTTTAGAGTTTTACACAGATTAAAGAAATAAGCAGAAGTTCACTACATACTAAATAGATTACCGAGTAATCCAAACACAGTTGGAACATTAATAAGTTAATACATAAATATGTGGTTTGAAATAAGTCTAGCAAGCCTTTCCAGAGATAAAATACCAGAAAGAGGAATGCAGGGTTGCACCATAATTTAGCTGAACATTATCAGCAACACCATTCCATTAGGCCTGTTTACCTGTTTACGTTGTTTCCATATCCTTTTATTCCTTACATAGCATTTGACACACACCTGGCTTTGACACTGTTAAGCCTAGTCCAAATAAAAAGGTTTTCAATAGCGGATTCACAATAAAGGGTGAAACTTCATCTGTGTTTGGAAAGAGCTTAATTGTATAATGGACTCTCTAAAGTGAATTGAACCCAATGATAAAAATTAAATCACTGGACCGGCAAATAAATCTCTTGCTTTCATTGGCGCACTCTTAAAATTGAATATGTCAATAAAATTAAACTCCTAACGTATAATATGATTCTCATTAGTTTTCTATTGTTTCTCTATTATGTGTTCCATTTGTCTGTTGTTTTATTGCAGAAATTGGTTTACTTCGAGTAGCTTTTCAATGCCTGGCTCAATTAGCGATTGAAAATGAATCATTTCGCGATAATATCTTTGCATTTCTTTTCTCTCAGAAATCATTTTCTCAGCGTTCTCATCAAAGTGTTGGGTGGGTTCCATTAGCATATCTACTTGTCTTGGTTAGTTCCTGATCAAGGCCTCCCTCCAGCACAGGCTATTGTAATTTTTGCTCCCACCCAGTCCATAGACTCCCTTTAAATTAGCTATAAAATTGCCAGTTCATATTTCATTGGGCTCCTGTGGCATGTTGCCCTCTATTCAAACACTCATCAGAGGACATTGCAGCGTAATCGATGTTACCCTAGCTAGTA